TAAAGCTTGATTTGTTCGTATTCATCGCTCTGTTTCAAGCGTTCTGCCGCCCTGTGCGCCTGCGTCTGCCGGCTGGTGGCGTCCTGGGCCATCAGGGCTTGGAAGGCACGGAGCTCTGCGGCCGGCATTTTGTAAGGGGAGTACGCTTCCGAGGGGAATGTCCCGGCCTCCACGTCCTGTTTGAAGGATTCTAGCCCTTCCCGAATCATGTTCCCCAGCTGTGCGTAACGTTTGCAGAAACGAGGGACGAAGGCCTCATGATGAGGGTGGGTAGTCATGCCCAGCATGTCGTGGTAGACGAGCACCTGGCCGCAGGTGTGGGGTCCGGCGCCGATCCCGATGGTCGGTATCTCCAGCGCTTCGGTGATGGCTTGCGCGACGGGGGCGGGGACGCATTCCACCACCACTGCGAAGGCGCCGGCCTCTTGGAGGGCCAACGCGTCATCTACCAGGCCTCGGGCTTTCACAGCCGTACGCCCCTGGGCGCGAAAGCCTCCCAGTACAGAGATGGCTTGAGGGGTTAGACCTACGTGCCCCATGACCGCAATTCCATTTTTGACGATTTTCTCAACAATGTGGGCCCTGTCCCGCCCTCCTTCAATCTTGACCGCGTCTGTGAACCCTTCCTTGATAAAACGGAATGCGTTGGTCATTGCCAGCTCCTCGGACACCTCGTAGGAGCCAAAGGGCATATCGCCGACGATCAACGACCGCTTTGTACCCCGTGCCACCGCTTTGCAATGGTGCAGCATCTGCTCCATGTCCACCGGTTGGGTAGTGTCGTAACCCAACTCAACCATGGCCACCGAGTCCCCGCACAAGACAATGTCGATGCCTGCCAGGTCCACATGCAACGCCGACGGGTAGTCGTACGCAGTCACCATAGAGATGCGTTGATTTTTTCGTTTTTTGTGCAACAAATCCAACACCGACATTTTTTTGGAGGACGCATTCCCTCCCAGGGGAGGGCGGGCTGATGCCCTCGGGCCCCCGGCGGGTGCCAAGCTTTCGGCAGGCGGAGAGGCCGCAAAGGAGCGAGAACACTGATAACTATGTAACCTATTCTTGGGACGTGAAAGTCTCCAGAAGTTGTGCCTTGTTGAAAGCCAAGTATTCATTGAAGTCAGGTGCAGGTACTCCCGCTATCGGTGACGCGAAAAAGGTTGTTTCCCACACGAAGCGGCTCAATTTAGCGTCGGTGCCTTACCCGCCGCTTCGAGAAGGATAAGAAGAGGTAGTACTAAAAAGTGTCAATAATAAAAACATGGATCGTGAGTTGGGCTGCGCACAAAATCAAATGCACGCCAAGCCTGAAAGCAGTACGTCGCTGTCGGTGCTCGACGTCATAGCGTAAGGGCTGGCGATGATACTTGGGCAACTGCTTGCCTGTCATATGAGACATTTTTACCACGCCCTGTTTTCGCAATCTCTAAGACTTAACACATCAACGCTCTGGCACATTTTATTTATTTTTATGGCAGGTTCTCTAGCCTATTTTAGGCGTGTTCTCCTCGACAGCTCTTCGAGGATCGCCTGTCTCAGTTGGCCTTTGTTTTTCGCTCTGCCCCGTCCTTGCAGCCACGTGCTGTCCACCTGGACAATGCCCACCAAGTACATAATAGCCGAAATACTGAGGCTCATGCCAGATCTTGAGAGTTTTTCGCGCCCATCTTCGGCTGAAGCGCCCGAAATTAGCATCGATAGAGGTGGGTGTAGCTAGCTTAGCCAATTTCATCAAGGCCCTAACCACTTCTTCTACTCTTGACAGATTTAGCCACCAAGGTGCTTTTTGCACTCATCGCCATAGTTGCGACCTGGAAAATTTGTCTGTATGTGGATCGAGCACGCAAAATCGGGAGAATGAACATGCCCGTCGTCCCCGGTGGTCTGCCTTTCTTTGGCCAAGTATTGGAATTAATCCGCTTGCCTCCTTGGGATCTTATGGTGCAATGGATGGAACGCTTAGGGCCCATCTATCGTTTCACCCTCTTTGGAGAGAGCTGCGTAGTGGTGGCGGATCCCGGATTGCTCCGAGAGGTGCTGCAGACAAGCATGAAAGCTTTTCAGAAGGACCTGGGCTTCACGTACAAGCCCTTCATGCCCCTTTTAGGAACGGGACTGGTCACATCCGAGGGCCAGCTGTGGTACACACAACGTGCGATGGTCTCTTCTGTCTTCCGGATCGAGATCCTCGAGATTATTCCCGACATTGCCAAACGGGCAGTGGAGCGCTTGTGCACCAAGCTAGAGTCTGTCCGTAACACGGACCAGGCAGTGGAGATCGGGGAGATGTTCCGTCACTTGACCCTCCAGGTCATTGCCGAAGCAGTGCTGAGTCTCTCGCCCGAGGAGTCTGACCAGACCTTCGCACGCATGTATCTACCCATTGTCACCGAGGGGAACCGCCGGACCTGGTACCCCCATCGCGCCTACCTCC